CTCCGAGAGATACTGATTTTTATTTCTTATTAAAATCGTACTTACTAAAACCAACAGCTAGCATATTGTTAGAATATCACTTCATTAATGAATGACAAGTTATTGGCTAAAAATAACAAGTATTACTCATTGAAAATACTATTTACCATCTCCCGCTCCCTTGCTGCGTGTGTCCTCCCTCCTGGCACTTTCTTGTTGCGGGGTTGCCCTCTGACATACGAGCGGGTGTTTTGCCCCCCCTGGCCCTACCACGGCGCCCTGGGGTGCGGAGCGGTGAGGCTGGCACCGTGCGCTCCCCCCGGGCGCCCCAAAAGCCTCGCTGGGACCATGCCCTGCGGTGGTGCAGTTCCGGGGAACGTATTCGGGTGCCTGGCTGGCCCTGGGGACACGGGCACCCCGATCCCAGGGGACGCAGGCAATGCCTGGCAGCCCTAACACCACCCCTGTCCCCCCCAACCTGCCCTGGGCCCCCCAAGGACAGCTCCTGCCCACTTGACAGCCAGGCTGTGTTTGCCTCCTGGGTGTCCGTGCCTTGAAGGAACGAAAGGCTGAGTGTTGCAGGGAGGGTTACTGAGAAAACACTGAAATCGCCCACTTTAGCCCCTCACATCTATAAACCATTGAGCTAAAGTACAATTTTTTACATTTTAAAGCACTGGAACACAGTTAAGTACCTTTAAAACCCCAAACTCTCCACATGCAGCAATGGCTCTGATCTGATTTAGTCGGCTAAAACACCTAAACCAACAGGTGTGAGCTTGAGTAGATTATTTCAATACAGCAGCAATTTCCAGCTGAACCCGGATCTCAATTAGATTAATTAAACGGGCTGCTGCCTTTTCTGTTTTCCATAGATTCTGCGTTACAGGCCCCACATTTGTTAGAGCAGACAGATCCCAAACGTGCCAGCACACAACCGGACACGAACACAGAGGCAGCGCAAACAACCCACATCGGGACCTCCCAGGTGTTATCGCAAATACTCCAATATTTTTTTTTCTGGGAGGAGGGTAGGATTTCAAATAAACTCCCAGCAAACCCAGCTGGGTGAGAGCACCATGACTCTCCAGTCTCAGTTTTTTAAGCAGTTTTTCAATGGTACAAAAGGAGAAAAGGCTTTAAAGCATGACTGGGCTCCAAAGCAGCTTGGGGTTTTGCTAGTTCCCCCGATCCTTAAGGCAGACTCATGCTTGCGGCTGACTTGCCTGACTCACCCCCAGGAATGTTTTTCTGTAAAACATCTGCACTGAAGCAGCTAAAAAAATCCCCTTCACGATTGATGCCCCTCCTGGGGACACTTCCTCACTGGGCACGGACCCAGAAAGTGCCCCCTCCATCACACCTCCTCACCAGGCACTGACCCCAAACCCCTGGCTGTTTTTCTTCTGAAGGTGTTTTGGTCGCACAGGCGGACAACCAACCAGGAAGAAATCTGAAAGCATCTGTGATTGCACAAGAACCAGGAAATGAGATTGGCAGAGAGAGAAGCAAAACTTAATTAGCAATTTTGGTTCCTGGGTGGTGACATCAGTGGCAGTGGGCTGTGGGCAAGCCAGACGTCACCCACCCCACTGCCCGTGGGCACTGCCCTGAGTGGATCTTGGGCAAAGGAGGTTGGCACCAATGGATGTGCTCGAGGTTCCCCGGAGCATCAGTGGCAGAGCTGCATGGGTCTGCTCTGTGTCAACCATGTCCTTGCTTCTGCCCAGGTGACATGCAGGGTCTCCTGTAGCTGAAACTGGGGTGCAGCTTGAAAGCAGCCACCTCCCTCTCTGGGATATTTCAGGGACACATTCACAAATGTAGTTGTGAAGCTCAGCATTTCCTCATTCCTGTTTGGAAATTGTTGCAAGCGGGGTGGCAGCACAGGAGGAAACATACCCCTCGGTCCAAAACCCAGCAGCAGCATTTCCCGGAGGTGTTACAGCATGTGGCTGAGCCAGTCGGAGTGATGGAGATGTCAGGGGCTCTGCCGGGTCCCTCGGCCCCGTGCACCCATCTCCATCCTGCTCAGGGAACCGGCACCCACAGGACCAGCCTGGCGAAGCAGGGGCTGATGCTGAGCTTTCATGAAAAGCAGGGAGGAGAGGGGTGGACCTGCATCCCTTGGGAAGCATCACAAACCCAACGTGGGGAGAGGGTGAGATGCCCCTCCAGAGCGCCATATGTTGCATCCTTTGTGGCAGACAGCAGCCCCAGCCACAGTGGGTTCTTGTGAGATGCCAGGGTTCGGCCAAGACTTGTCACCTCCCCAAGTCAGCTGTGTATGGGAGGACCTCATTGTATTCCCAAAGAAAGACCCAGCTTCCCTCCTGGATGTGCCCATCTCTGCAGAAATGCCCCAGACCATGAGCAGGCTCAAAACCACAGAGAAACAAAACAAAATTCAGGTTGTGTTAATGCTCAGTGGTAATCCGGTTTGGGGAGGAGAGCTCCCCTTTGAACATCTGAGCACCAAAATACCCAAATGGGGAAGACAGAATAAACACTGATAATCCCTTTCGTGGTCAAAGCCCACCCAGCCCTGGGAGGGCAAACACTGCGTGTTTATGGCTGTTTGGGGGCAGCAGGGACGACGCCAACCTGCGGGCGCATGGCCAGGGTCCCATCCCTGCCCAAACACTGCAGCCGAGGCAGCTTGCCAAATAGGTGATTGATGCCAAATTATTTCATATCAAAAGGGATTTTATTAGCAGAAAAAAATACTTCTGTCATACAATGTTGGACACCTGCTTATTCAGTTCTTCTTGGGATCAAGTCTCACCGCAGCACTAATTCCAGCCATTTCTATAGCGTCGACTCTGTTGCACTAACAACGTCAAACACAATTCATACCTGAAACCTCGAGCCTCTGGAGTAATATTTTATCCCCCAAGCAAGCCCACGCTCTTTGCAATCAGCAGGTTCCTGCTTGCTCCCCTCCACACCAGGTACAGTAAATATTAACCACCATGAGGCACCCGACTCAGGGAATCAGTGACCGGCCCAAGGTCAGGCAGCTGGAGGAGATGAAGGCAGGAAGGGAGCAGCGGTGTCCTTGCAGAAGTAAAAGGTCACAGATTAAATCTCCAGAGGACTTTGCTGAGGACCGTTTAGAGCTGCACAGCACAGGGGTTTCTTGAGATAAAGGACAGCAAGAAAAGAAGCTGATTCTGCTTTATTGCCACAGCACAGACCAACCATCGCCTCTGCCAGGGCAGCTGAGATGCCATCCCAGTACCCACCGGCATCGCCCCCTAGCTGCAGGCGATGTTGCAGGATGCAGCAGGGCTGTTCCCTTTCCCAGCACCATTTTTTTTTTTTTTTTTTTTTTTTTTGTACCTGGAGAGCTCTCCTGGAGAGACCTGGCCAAGGCCTAAATACTTTCAGGTTTTATCTCTCTGACTTTGAGACTTTATCAAGTCTCAAAGTGTTTTCCAGCTTTGCCAAAATACACCAAAGATATTATTAAAGCCTTTGCTTTAATATAGTAATAATAAAAGCCTTAGCAAATTTTCCAGGTGGAAAAACTTCAGTAACACCACATGCTTTACAAGAAGGAGTTAAACATGGACTAATTTACCTCCCGGGATGACTTTTAACACCTCACCCCAGCTACAAGCTGGTGCTACAGCAGGGCTGGGGACACTGCTGCTGTCAGATCCCTCCCCACACCTCCCTGGGAAGGATCATCCCTGGGCACAGCAGAAAGCAGATACATTGGGATGGAGAGTTTAGGTTTTGCTCTAAATTATCTCGCAGGATTCAGGATGCTGCTCAGAACCGAGGGGGTTTCACCCTGGTTGTTAAACCCCAAAGCATCTCCCAGACACCTGGACCATGAAGCCCCAGGCCAAGCATTTCCTCTCTCTGGGTTTGGGTCTGAACAACTTGTGGTCGTTTGTCTCCTGCCCAAACTGTTTGGTGGGGAGATTAGAGGGAAGGCAAAGAGCAGGGTCAGTGCAGGGGAGCCCAGCACAAACACCATAAAGGGATTAGAGGGGCTGGGGGGGAAGAGTGGGTGGGAATTTTCCTGTGTGCATCGCTGGGGAAGAGGCAGCGTTCTCTAGCCAAGGAAGTGCGAGGGGGATGCTGCGAGGAGGCTGGCAGGTGGGTGCGTGCAGCCCAGCAGGTCTGCAATAACTGTCTGGGGATGCTGCGGGGTGCTGGGATGCAGCAGGAGGTGCCCAAGGTGGGTCAGATGAGTGCCAATGGGTTTAGCAGAGACTACCCAACACCATGCCCGGGGGGGGCTGCGCTGGCATTTCCCCACCCCCAATACACACTCACTTTACACTTTTCCTATAAAACAGCTAAACTGACAGCTTCCCTTTACAGTTAAAACACGTTTAAATAACAGCAAATCTCCTTATGGCTAGATGTTTGCACTCAAACCACTTTAATTCAAGTTGTACTGCTATATCTCTTTCTGTACGTACATGCACACACATATATATATATATGCATACACATGCACATAATTCTTCATGTCTGTCATACCAGAACATGCCTGGGGAACCCACAGTCCCAACTTGAACAAGACTTTGGTGGCCAACAAAGGTCCCAACACCAACCCGTGCCCCTCCTCTAAAGCTGAGATCTTCCTGCTCACTCATCCCACCCATTTCTCCCATGCACACTGGCAAAGCTAGTAGCAGAAGAACCCACCCAGCAACCGCTTGCTCCCTCCCTGAGGGAAGCTTGGGAGACCCCAAAGTGTGATTTTCCTTCTCTATCACCCTGGGAAGGCTTCAACCCACTGGTGGCTCCAGATCCACCAGAGCCAGCCTAGCCCAGGCAGAAGCAGCTCGTGGCAGGGAGTCTCCCTGGGCACGGTGGAGGCTTCAAATCCTGCTCTGAACCA